CTGTTGCCATTGAAAATGTGAAAAATAATTTTATTTTTTAAGGAGTATAGAGAGAATGATTTTTCTAATGCTCTTAAAGTTGCTAAGGAACTTACAATTGATATGAAAATTGATCCATTTTTTCCTCAAAAACATCAAATCAAAGAAAAAGACAGCTTGATGAGAATTTAAATGACAAGAGTACACAATGTGCGAAATAATCTTTTAGAATTAATTATTTTAATTGCATCATTGATCAAGCAATTGTTTCACTTGATTGGTGGAGTTGAAGTTACTTCAAGAATTTTTTCCCAAAGAAAAATTGGGGCCTCTTGTTATTTTAAAGTTTATGAAGCGTGTTGATTGTTTTCCTAATACAATTATTGCATATAGGATATTGTTAATCATTCATGTGACAGTTGTAACAGCTGAAAAAAGTTTTTCAAAGTTAAAATCGCTCAAATCTTACTTGCGTAGTTCTATGTCACAAGAAAGACTTAATGGACTAGCTTTGGTGGCAATCGAAAATGAGATTTTAGATAAAGTTGCTTATGAGGATTTGATGATGAATTTGCTTCAAAGAATGTTCGGAGGGTGAGATTTTTCAAGTGACAAACTTGTAAGTTAGTGAATGTCTCTTATTATTTTAGTTGTATTCTTTTAATAAAATAATAAAAATAATGCATTTGACAATGTTTAATTATTTTCTATGATTTATTAATAAATTTTTACTCCGCCACTCAGGGCCTTAAAAATATTCGAAATGGCTCTGCATGCTACAAGTGGTAGATTCTCACCTCTCTCGTTCATGTCAATTTCTCATCATATAATTTTTTCTCTATTTACTTAGCCTTATACATATGTAACAAATGTAAATTGACATACGAAATTGTGAATGATATATATTGTCTTTATGACAAAGATAATCCATATGAATCATATGTATGTATGTATATTAGGGAAAACTATACTAATGATCATGAAGTTTTAAGACACTTTCATTTTAGTCATCGAACATTCAAAATTTGAATTCTAATCACTAAATTTTTAATTAATTTTCATTATAATAATTGTCGTTAAAAATTTGACGCAGCACATTAAAACTCATTGGAAACATTAAGCTTCTTCTTTCAAATTGGCCGTCGTAGTTCCTCTCTTCGCGAACATTTTTGTTACTCTTCGATGGTTCTCTGGTAAAAAAGATCATCGAACTACTCTTTTTTTTCTCTTTTTTTTCCGTCCGTTTAAACTTGCCAAAAAAAACTTCCAATCTCCTCAAACCTCAACTTAAACTAAAAGATAAAACTTTTTAATCTGTCAATGTCAACTATCGAATAAACTTGAAATCAAACCATGTTAATCTTTTATCAAAATAGAACATTTCAACCGTTAGGATTGACCAACGATCGCTCTGTTAAAAAGAAATCCACCAAGGCAGAGATGAGTATTCTTTTCCTCTTCTTGTTTATTTACTTATATGTTTGTTTTAGCTATTGTTTTATTGTTTATTGATTATTGTGATTGTGGATAGTGATAGAAATAACGTTGACAAAAATGGTAGTGGAGTGAGGAGCGATGGTTGCCAATTTGAGAGAAGAAGCTTAATTTTTTATGGCTTTTAACGATAACTATTGATCATGACTGTAATAAAAGTGAATTAAAAGTTTAGTGATTATAATCCAAATTTTAGAAGTTAAGTGACCAAATTGAAAGTATTCTAAAAGTTAAATAGTTATCAATGTAATTACCCTCTTTATTATTAAATTTTTTTATATGAACTTATAATTTAGCTTTAAATTCCAATACCAACCCTTATATATTTTTATTTTTTAAAAATTTTGATCTTATTTTATAAAAAATAATTAACTTCATGAATTTTATATTATTTTTCATCTATCTTACCAAGGAACTTAAATTCAAGCCATACACTCCAATTTGTGAATTCCATTAAAATTTACAAATAAATATATTCATGAAATATTAATTCGTTCTCATAAGATTTAATAAATATATATATATATATATTATCTATTTAAGATTTATTTTTCATATTAAATTGTTAACCTTTTAAACAGGATTAAAATAGCATTAAAGAAAAATTCATGATAGTAATGTAACGGTCCACATACTAGTTAACATACATCATGGCAGTTTTTTTTAATATTTTTTATTTTTAATTATTTATTAATTAAAATATAAAATATATAGTGTTATGTTAACATGAAATATACATAAATTGTTACAGGAATAGTTACAATTAAATTTTGGGTAAATTACACTATTTGCTCACTAAACTTTACTCTTCCTCTTATTTTACTTATTTGTACTTTTAATTTTCTAATTTACTCACTGAACTTTCGAAATGTTTTTGCTTTGATCATTTTGAATTATTTTATTATTATTTACGCATGACATGGTATTTATTATTATTATTTAATATAAAAATAAAAAATAAAAATAGAAGGTGGTCGACCGATGTAGATGATGGTCGTTCGGTCCCAAATTTAATGTGTCGTTTCGCCTCAACACCCTAAGCCCGAATTTGACTTCCATTTTGTTGAAACTTGCTCTGAAGCTCATGAATTGGAGATCGAAAGTAAGGAAGCCGAAATGTTTAGTCGATATTTAAGGATTTTAGGACATTTTTTTGGTGAAACAACCACCAAATTCGACTCAGTGGATTGAGGCAAACTGACCTATAAAATTTGGGACCGAACGAGGACCATCTAGGTATTTAGGAAGGATAACGACGGTCGATGGTGGCGTTCAACCGCCTTCTATTTTTATTTTATATTTAAAATTATTTTTATATTAAATAATAAAAAAAAACGCATCATAAGAAAATAATACTAAAATAATTCAGAATGATAAAAACATGAACAATTCGAAAGTTCAGTGACTAAATTAAAAAATAAAAAATGCACTGAGTAAAATATGAGATAAAGTAAAGTTTAGTGAAAAATGTGTATTTTACCCTTAAATTTGTATAGTTTAATAATTAATTTTAATAAAAATTTAAAACAAAGAAATTATCATAAAAACTATATAAAAAATGAAAAGCGTTTATCAAATCCGATGTGAATATATTTTTAAAATAACCTAAAACAGCTTACATAAGATATATATATTAAATCTTAACCATACTACAATTTTTTTAAAAAATCATGTACTAAACATAATAATGGATCCACAAATACTTTTTAAGGTAAATACACATATAAAATTAATAATATAACTTCTCGAGCATAAATAAAATTTTAAAATAGAGGCCATTAATAAAATACTTGAGTTCACCACTGCCCAAAAGAATACTCTTTTGGTTTGCAGTCTTTTTTTCTATATTGATTTTTGTAAATATCCATTTATTTGAGATCGTGGGATCGAGTCTCATGGAGGGCATTTCATAATTTGGAGGTCTCCTACGGAAGCTACTCTCAACTTAGTGTTGGGGGCAGTCTACTATGTTACCTCCTCCTTACCCCATTACATATGGAAACAAGGGACAACCAACCAACATCCATTTGCTTGTTTCCATTGATGCGAAAATAATGGATGGATCTGGTGAAACCGCCCCTAGTTTTAATACAGAGATTATTTCTTTCATAACTTTGAAGATGGAGAAAGAAACCCTACATAATTAAACAAAATGAGATGCTCACTTGTTTCATGCTTTTCCTTTCATTTGCTCCAAAATTAATCCATCCTCGATCATATCTACCTAACATTATTATTATTCTTTTTTTATTGAAATTTGTTAGTTTTATTAAAAATAGAAAATATCTAAAATTACAATGAAGATTTACACATAATCGTAAACCTAAAATATAATTATAACATTTTTCCATTATCATTAAGACAAATTAGCCACCTAGATCACATAAGGACCAAAGAAGGAATATGTTAAAAAAAACCAAACCAAAAACTCGAATAAAATAAAAATAAGAACAAATCTGACTGCATCTGTAAATAATCCACAAAAAGGAATGAAGCTACTGAAAAAACACCGACAAATCGCAAATTATAATCTAGCGATGTAAGAAAATTATCCACGAACGCAAAATGCGTATCCAAATCAATCCAAGGGTCCAAAGCAGGAAAGATCATCATGATAACAAATAAGCGTCATATTGATCCGTCGTGATGATGTCAAATCCAATCCTGAGAAAAAAAGATAAACAAAAAACAACGGTAAAAAGGTGTAAACTACCAAAAGGCAAAGAAAAACATGTCACAAAAGTAGAGATACACGTGTCATAAAGACAAATAATATGTTAAAAATACATAATTATTATTATTAAAAAAAACTATAAAAATAAATAAAAAAATAACCGACAGGCAACAATCAACTTTAAAATCGGTGTTACAAAAAGTTAAATAAAATTAAAGAATAAAAATTGGATTAATTAATAAAATTAACATAAATTAAAAAAAAGGAGAAAGAAGAAAACGGCTATAACATTAATATTATTCTTTTAAATCTATTTTTAAAAAATATTCATTTAAATTAATATATTTCAAAATAGTACAAGATTTTAATAAAATAATATTTTTTTTTAAATATACTCAGTTAATAACATATGCCGTGAACACAAAAATCTAAAATCGAATTCATTAAAAAAATACTCATACCAATTAGATAATTAAACCAACAGAAGTGAATATCGGACGGCTATCTATGAAACGTGGCAGGAGTTGATTCCTTCAAGGTATCAACCGTGAAGAAGGGCACAACGTGGCCAGGGAACAGTTTGGTTTGGGTGGACAAAAGGCCGAAAGGAAACAACATTCTTTGAGGCAACCATCATCACTTGGCTGGTCCATGACTTCACCATAGGATAGGATCTTTCTTCCAAACTTGTTGGAGAATTTTTTTATATATATTTCACTTCTCATTATTCACTTGTTTCCTACTTTTTTCAACTCATACCAGCAGAGAGAGAGAGAGAGAGAGAGAGAGAGAGAAGACATGCTCCACTTTCCCATTAAAAACGTCAACCAATCAAATGCATACAAATAAATACTATTAAAAAAGAAATTACATAAATATAAAGTTGCAGAAATTATAGTGCTTTCCCTTCACTAGTTTCTTTGCCTGCTTTCCTGTGATTGTGCAGTCCAGTTACATTCATGGGTAAGTAAAGCAACCACTCTTCCAAAACATCCATCTTTAGTCTTTACTCCATCAGTTTTGCTCTTTCTGGTTTTCAGGGTATTTTATTTTCTTCTTTGTTTTTTACCTGGTAATTTGGTTCTGTGGGAAATGATGGGTTTTTTTATTAGTTACTGTTGAGATTATTTAACTGATTGATGATTCTTTTTTGTGTTTTAAAGTAATGGGAAATGTTGGTGGTAGAGAAGATGGTGAAGGAACTTCAGGAACAAAGAAGAAAGGATATGAAGTGGATAATGAACAGTTTAATACAGACCCAATGCTTCATTCCCCTCCCCAAAGTCCTAATAATGACGCTTATCAGCTTCCTTTCCAATACCCTCCACAGGTTAGTTATTGGAGAGGTTGAAGGATGAAATAACATGGGGACAAACTTGATTTTAATGGCTTTTTAGATACATGATATAATTTGTTCTAGTAAAGTCTCGTGGTTATTGTTTAACATGTTGCAATTAGTTCCCTCTGGTGTTCGTTGTATAGTCAGAAAATATTCACCCTTCGCTTATCATTTTCTCACAGTGTTTCATTTTGCAAATTATTCATCCCTTCATGTGTATTTGGATGCTCTGTATCGTAGTTTTTGCTGTTGTTGTTATGCATGTGATTTTGGATTAGATTGATCTCTATAGGGAATAAAAAGCATCTGTTTAGGGATTTAGAGCCATTTCACAGGCATGCCAAGAAGTTGACATGTGAAGTGCTTGCTCATGTGGGTTTGGAGGTTTTATTCTGGATATGGAATCTATATATGCAACATGTTTAACTGAAAGAAATCCAATACCATGGTATTTGAATTTGTATCTTTAGATCCCTATGTTTCCCTGGTTAAGATCTGCTGAAATGATCCAAGACCAAAGTGATTTGCTCGTGCAGAACACTAACTTGCCATGGGAGTACAACGATTCAGGCAGACCTTTGAATTTACAGGTATTCTGAAGCTCTTTTACGAACTTCACACATTAGGTTTACATTTCAGATCAGTGCATGCAAAGTATCCCGTTTGCTGAATATTTTGTCCATGAACTTTCACCAAATAGTGTGTGAACATGCAATGTTATATGGAAATAGATGATTCAGACAATGCTAATATGAGACTTATTCAAGCACATTTTATCTGGTTTTCCTCCTTCCCCTTTTCAATTTGGGTGCCTGCCTTCCTTTTTAGCCATTACAAAAAAAGTAAATTTATTACCTATGGACCTTTTACCTCCCACTTAAGTATAACTCATGGAACACCAGGTGTGTTGAAGGAAGTGCTTGGATTCTCTGAGCTAGTGGAACCTGACTAAGAATGAGATTCTTGAATTGATACTCTGTCCCCACCAAAAAGAACAAAGAAGCCTTTTCAATTTTGCTCCAAAAATATCCTTGACAAATGGTGCTGCTTTTGCAAATAGACTAAAACAAAGCCATATGCATCCTCTTACACTTTATTTGCCAAACACTTGATCCAAATAAAAGCATGTTTGTAAATTGGTTTTGTTACCAGCCTACAATCCATTCATTATAGTACAAGGTAAAGTAATTTTGCATTGTTACTACTTCTCTTTGCTATTTTTGTAAGGGTCTCATGTTTACAGCCTATTTATGGTCTTCATGAATTATTTTGATCTTTGAAGATTTCGAGTGGTAAATTAAGTGTGGTGAATGTTGATTGTACATGTTTTATTCTCAAATAATGTTCTGAAGGAGATAGTTTTCTGCATATTATGCTAAAAGGAAATGAAATGGCTACACGCTTGTTTATGAAGGCATTCTATCATCTACAACATGGTAATGGAAAATTCGATCTTTTTGCAATTCTTTCTCCAGATCTCTGGGGTTCCCTTGCCCAGGCCTGGTCAAATGAGCCAATTCCAAAATGATCCACCGGTACAAAAGTTGATGCGCTGCAAGGATTTCGACCAAGAGGAGAAGAGAGCAGTGATGATAACATGGTGTTTCGGTGGCAAGCAAGTGGCTATTACCGGATCATGGAGCAATTGGAAGACCATGTACTGGAATCTCCGTTATGGAGGCTATGTTTGTAGTTTCATTCTTCAGCTTTAGCAGTTTTCTTTTCACAGTCTAAATTGCACAGCCTTTGTTTCTTCTCCTTACAGAGAACCTTTGCACTCTTTGGGTAAAGATTTCATTATCATGAAGATGCTCCCATGTGGTGTTTACCACTACCACTTCATTGTCGATGAGCTAAGGATATATGCTCCGAACTTACCCTGCGAATTCGATGAGTCCGGGAATGTTTATAACATTTTGAATTTGCAGGTATTCTCAAGCTTCTTTTTACACTTAAATTGCAGATTGAATAAAGCTATGATAAGCTATTCACATGTTCAAGTAGATACCGTCTAATGATGTGTTGTAACAGGACTTTGTTCCAGAAGCTCCTGAAAGCCTCTCAGAGTTCGAACCTCCTCCTTCCCCTATATCGAGCTACGACAATCAACCACTAAACAGTGGTGATTTCAGCAAGCCTCCACCTGAACTGCCTCCGCAGTTACGGACAAAGATATTCGAAGAACGATCGTTTGTTAGTCGGAAGCCAAAGTCCTCGCGAAGGCCTTCTCATACATTGCTGAACCATCTTTACAAGCAAGATGGTGATGATGGTCAGTCTATGGCACTTTGCTCAACACAACGGTTTCTTCAAAAATATGTAACTGTAGTACTGTACAAGTCCGTGCATAGGTAAATTAAACAGAACTTGAAGTTCTGCAACTCTTTAGCTTGATAAATTTACAACACAAGTACTCAGAAGAAGGGTGTGCTAACATTAACAAGTTCTTACATTTAGAAAACGGAGAAGGCTGAATTAAAGATGCATTTCGAGTGAATCGACACTGAAAATATCCTCTCCCCAATCAGAGTCCCATGACTCAGTCGTGTCAGGCAATCAATTATTCTATTACATAATTGTCGTGTGTGTTCAATGTGTACTTCTCACTCGAGGCACAACAAATTATAAATCGCATTCGCATGTGGGCTTTTATAGAGAACCATTCAAAAAGATAAACACTTGGTTTGAGTGTGGGCTTGTGGGGTGATAGTTCTCTGCTTTGCAAAACATATATTTGAAAATAATGGCAAAGGCCCACTGTCATGGTCCTCTAACTGATTGAGGTTTTGTTTTAGTCACTGTTCCATAAAGGTTATGTGTAATCGCCGTGAGATAGTTGGTGCAGCAGCAACAACAATTCTTACGAAAAGGGTTGGTAGTATAATATGTATCTATTCTGTATTTGAAAATAAGTGAATTTCCCACACTATATTCTGTCTCATAGGTTTTAAAATTAGGATCTTGTCGATTGGATGAGACATGCTGTCATGAAAATTGTACGTTATTCCAACGTGCACTAGGGTTCAGGATAACATCGGTCAACACGGGGCTTGCCTAAAGTGATAAGTCAATGGATCACTTGATTTCACTGCATCTATGTTTGGTAACTGTGGAGGACCAAATCTAGCTGTAGGGTCTGCAAATGGGAGCAGGTCAAGCGCGGCAAAGCTCTTGTCTGCCACACTCCTCACTGTTAATTTAACATAAATAGAATTGTTGGGGTTCAAGGGAACCCAAGCCAATGGAGAGTCAATATCGGTTTCATTGTTCATTACTTCTTACAATTATAGTGTGTGCATGTGCAAAAGGCAAAAGAGGGTTCGCCTTTTTCTTTCTCGACAAAGAGATGCCCAATCATCATGCAGCTCCCGATGGGTCCCTTAGGAACCACATATAGGGGGGTATCATGAAGGTGATTTTAGTGGTGGGGCTAGTCTCTTTCTTTTTGTTCCATTTTCAGTTGGAACAATATTGCTGGGCAGCTCATTGCGAACTGTGAAAATAAAACACTAATCCTCTATAGGATTTGAGGATCTTCAAGTTTGATAGGGGAGGTTGTCCCTTTATGCCTTCTAAATTGGCCTCAATGGTAAATCCAAACGTTTCCCAAGTTTGGGTTGGATTGAGCACCTTGTGTGGTCGGACTCGAATAACTAAATATATGTATATTTAGAGGGATATTTGTAAACACGTGCTACAAGACAAATACCTTTTTATGGTTAAGATAAGTTCAAATAATTTCTCAATTGTATTTTGAATCTTCTGATCTGCTTTCAGCTTGTCCTTGTTGCTGGAATAATGTCTTGAAAAATGGAAAGTGATTAGAGTTAAGGTGAGTATTGGATCGACAAGAATTGAATTTATGAAATTTGAACCGAGTTAATGTTAAATTAAATAAAATATGAAATTGGAATTTACTCGGTGTTATAAAGTTTATCAACTTTATATTGTACTCTTTTGGATGACTTCAAGTCAATTGAGAAATTGCTGCGTTGCTTCCTTTCATTTAAAAGTAGAGTCGGGCAACATGCGTAAGCAAAGGTATTATCAACTTAACTGCTACTACAGCACCTTAATTATGCTTTCAAACAGCTAATTTTAATTACCATTATCAAATGCCAATACATCAGAAATCACTTCAATGCAGAATTTAATCTACTATTGAACCATCAATTGCGAGCTTCGAATTGAATCCCTCTTTCATTCTCCTAATAAAATCTTCACATTTCTTGTTTAACTCTTCATCACTCAACAGCCCAAGTTCTTCATCATCCACGCCTGGAACAAGCTCATTCGATATTTCTTCTTCTTCTTCTTCATCTTGTACAACCAAGGGCAAATCTTCTTCTCTTTGATCAACTTCTGCAGTAACTTTTGCTTTCAAAATTGACTCTTTTGGCTCTGATGATTCAACCCCTATTTCTCTTTGACCACCTCGCTTGCCGATCCTTGGAGTCTTGTCGGATTTAATATCAGACTCTACCCCAAAACCACCGAACAAAGCAGAGCTGGTGGCAATGAAGAAAAGAAGTCCAATGCAAAGCAGAAACATGTAATTCTTGCCAACGCTGAAACTAAAGAGATGTAAACTGTATGACAAAGTTCGGAAGTTGCATAACAAAGGGTATGATAATATTACAGAAACAAGTGAAAAGGGGAGAAAAATTTTGGTGACAAGCTTCAGGAAGTGGGAGCTGATGGTCGATTGAATTGTTTGGTTTTCGTTTATAATCTCCATAGTTTCTTTCTTCTCAATTCAGCTATGAAAAAGGGATGGGGCGAAAGATTTGAAGAGCTTTAGTAGTGAAGAGAGAGTAAGGGGTAGCTTTTGGATACTAGATGATGACATTAGCTCAGGGGAGACGATGCAAAAGCTTTATATAAAAGTCTGAAATACTAAAAAGTTCTTTTAATTTATTTATATAATATAGCTGGGGGGACCTAATTCCTGGAAATTACCCCTTCTTCTCCACGAAATTAATTTAAATAAAACTCCTTTTTTTCTTTTTCTTAGTACTTAACCAAGTCCATGGTTACCTTCATTAAGAAAGAAAACACACATATATATTAATATGGTTACCATCATTAAGAAAGAAAACACACATATATATTAATATGGTTACCAACATTAAGAAAGAAAACACATATATTACTAAGGTGTCAACTTATTGAGTTTCCTCTAAAAAAATATTAATTTTTTTAAAGAAATTGGGATTTTAGTATTTGAATTTATAAAACATACACGTTATCAATAGTTAAAAAATTAATGATTATTATCTTATAATTATATTAAATTATTAAAAAATACTAAAATATTTTGTAAATTTGTTTAAAAAGTTAGGTTATTTATTGATTTAGTATGTTTTAAAAAATCAATGGAAGAAGTGATTAAATTGAGGATTATATCATGCTTTATTCTTAAAATTTTTGATGAATTATTAATCTCATATTAATCTTATATTTACTACAAATTAAAAAACCTAATTTATTTAAACTTTAATCTACAATCTATTTTACCTTGTGAAATAATATAAAAAGAAAAACTCTAACTACCATTGTTTTGTCTTCCACCCAGCATTTATAATGAGAGTATAATGTAATTAAAGTTTTCAATACTGATATTCATAGTTATAATTAGACTCTATATTTTGTAGCTGAAATTTTCAAATAATGCGGTGGAGAAAAATAATTGTTCGAATAATGAATCGAGAGATTATTTGCTCGAATGGGGTGAATGTTATAGTGTTGAACAGAGATACACTATAGTCGTCGTGCCTTCCCAGCGTTTCCCCCCAGAGACGCATGGAAATCCAAGCGAGTCCCCCCTGCATGCACCATGCAACTGCTGCCACCTCATGTGTTGCTGCCCCCCCATGTGTTGCTGCCACGTTGAGCAAAAACCCTGGAAGACGCATGGAAATCCATGCAACTCCCCTCGCGTTGTATTCATTGTCAACTTCATTGCCTTCAGTTTCGCATTCCAAACCTTGTCGTATTTTACTTGGTATCCAAATTGACTTCAAATAGATGCAACTAACACTGAACAAGGGATCTTTGGATTCTTCTCAACCAACACCTTAACGTATTCGCATATTACATTGGAGTCCAATAGCCGGTGGACTTGTTCGATTGAGTTTCGCAAACATGTGTGAGGACCATTGTACCTTGTGATGACCCAATCATCGTACCTCTAAATTTTGGACACTCTGATCTTCCACTTGCACTATGGGCCATATTTAACACACATCACATATATGGTTTTTTAGTTGGACTTTGCAACATGGATATCAACATGGCCTTTGATGCAATACTCTTTAATCCCCAACGTAGCTTCATCTTTTCCTCTAAATTGCACCCCAACCAAAAATTCACCAAATTTTTCGAATGATTCAACCATGTGGTATGGAGGTATATGTGGCATGTCTGGGAATTTTTGTACCCTCATCGCATCATAATTTATCTCGTACATATGAGGGGTAGGTTGATACGGTGTCGGAACTTCATCAGTGGCCAGGTTAGGTGCACCACCATAGCCAAAATTATTATCGTCAGCCAAAACGGGTTCCTCGGTTTCTTCATCTTTGTTGGAATCATCATGGATTTCTCCCCATCGATTTTCAGCGTCAACATCAATAGTCAATTCTGAGTTATATATGTTTCTCTCCTCGTACTCTACTACTGCGGATGTTTCATCGACTTCATTTCCACTTTCCAATAGCGCCATAAAATTATTTATCAATCTGTATCTAGGGTCCTCAAATTCACTTCCGAAAGCCATTTGAGATGAATTTCCAGCCACATTTCTTGATGACCCATGAACATCAAATATCTTAGGAACATCAACAAATAACTCAATAACTGAAATATTTATTCAGTTATGTAATCCAATCATGGTTCTAATATCATCATCTTTTTCAACTGGAACTGCAACATATCTAACTGGATTGGGACATAGCATGAACCTGTACTTCAACCATTAATTGTAGCTCGAATTTTCCTTTCTATCATCTGCTTCATTTCTACAAATGTGATGTCCATTATAATATATTTATAATGAAAAACATATTTATTTCTACAATTGTGATGTTCATTATAATATATTTGTACAAATGTTCATTTCTATAAATGTAATGTTCATTATTCTAAATACACATTTATAGGTCTTTCAAACTGAAAAACAACTCCGACCTCATTTTTCAATAATATGTCCATTATAATGGGCAATCGTGAAAAAAGTTGTTGCTCATTTTCTATACAAATTCAAAATTTGTATTTAGAATAAAGAAATTTAAGGTACACTAAGATCATAAATCGTAAAAATGATATTATACAATATAAAATAATATTAACATAACAA